CCACTTTCAACACAGCCACCCCTCCGCTCTGGCTCTAACCTCTCTTCACCTGGAAAAAGAGATACGAATGACTTTAGCCCATTGCACATGAATGTAGTGCAGAGAAGACCAAACAGTGCACGCAGAAGTGCTCTGAAAAGCTGAAAGATCAAATACAAATGCAGATGTTAGTATTTTCATAAGGTGTTGAAAGTACTCAACCTTTTGTTTCCAATTTCCAAGCCTGGGAGAAACATTTCTGATTCCTTTTGCACCTAATTTGAACAAAATATACAAACATCTCACTTTGATTTTTCTCCTGCTTCAGGCATTTGGCTTGAAGAAGCCTTTTTGCCAGCAAGCTGCCAACTAATAGAGCTGAAAGGAAATCCAAACCCCACTCCAAGTCAGGGGTGTGGGGGTAGAGGGTAGAAAACATTGCTGGAACTTTCTTCCAGCAAGAAGAAACTGAACAGGACCGCAAGAGGTAACCATAATCACACAACCTGTTATAGACCCTGCAGAGAACCAGATTTGGTTTAAAAATAGAACAGGAGGAGATGGCTTGACTCTACCTCAAGCTAATCTAGGAGAGAATCTCAACGTTGAGGTAGAAATTACATAGGTTTTGCCCCCGAGCATGGGATGACAGTGAAGGGTGTTCCCACCTTGGAAACTTGTCCTCATGCAGTTTCCTCTGCCTGGAACGCACCCTTCCTCTTCACCTTGTCTTTTCTTAAGGAGCTTTTTTTTTTTTTTTTTTTTTTAATTTATTCTTGAAAGAGAGAGAGCAGGGGAGGGGCAGAGAGAGAGGGAGAGAGAGAATCCCGAGCAGGCTCCGCACTGTCAGCGAAGAGTCAGACGTGGGGCTTGAACCCACGAACTGTGAGATCATGACTTGAGTTGAAATCAAGAGTCAGATGTCTGGGGAGCCTGGGTGCCTCAGCTGGTTAAGTGTCTGACTTCAGCTCAGGTCATGGTCTCTCTGTTCATGAGTTTGAGCCCCACGTTGGGCTCTGTGAGAACAGCTTAGAGCCTGGAGCCTGCCTGTCTCTCTGCCGCTCCTCTGCTCTTATTCCATCTCTCTCTCTTTCACTCTCTCAAAAATAAATAAAACATTAAAGCCAAAAAAAATAAGAGACGGATGCTTAACCGACTGAGCCACTGAGGCACCCCCTCAAGGGAGGGAAGTCTTTCTTAGGGAAGACTCTCCTGCTGACACCTCCACCACACCCCCATTTCAGATCAGGTGTCCAGGGTAAAAAAGCTAAAACTCCTTTATAATCACTGATCATTGCTAGAATTAGTGATTCATTAATTTAAGTGATAAGTGTCTGTTGTTCTCTCTCCTCTCACCAGTAAGCTCTGTAAGGACAGGGAGGAGTTTGACTTTTTAGAATCCCCACAACAGAATACAGCATCTCCTAACTCAGAGTGGGCCCTCATTAAAAATTTATTAAGTAAGTAATCAAAGAAATACGATCTGAAAAAAACTTCAAAGCAGATTATTTCAGATCACAAATTATTTCTATATAGGCACCTTGATGCAAATAGATGCTGTTTACAATAAATTCCTTAATTAACTGTTGCTCAGGGAGAACACATTGCAAATGGAGGGAAACCATACAATGAGAAGGTTAATAAATCAATTTTAATAACAAGTAAATAGCAAGGAAATATGCCGCATGCTCTGAATAAAGAGTTCTCACAGACTGGATGGTTTCCAAGGTTCCAAATGCCCATGTTTACACATTTTGAAGAAGAGACATGAAAAGGGCAGAGCTATTGTTTCCCAAGCTGACTTCCTTGTCAGTGGACATCAGAGAGAAATTCCCTCTGGACCCGGTGTCACGTGATAGAACAAAAAGTTGCATGATGAAGCCACCCAGTCTTTCTCAAGCTATTGGGACAGTTCCCAAAAGCACAGGTAAGACGGCAGCCAGTTTTGTTGCATACTGTTTACTTTCTTCTGTTTCTTTTAAAGTTTTATTTATTTTTGAGATAGAGAGAGACTGCATGAGCAGGGGAGGGTCAGAGAGAGAAGGAGACACAGAATCCGGAACAGGCTCCAGGCTCTGAGCTAGGCGTCAGCACAGGGCCCGATGCGGGGCTCGAACCCACCAACTGTGGGATCATGACCTGAGCCGAAGTCAGATGCTTAACCAACTGAGCCACTCTGGCGCCCCTACTTTCTTCTGTTTTAAAAAGCTGAAAAGTGTGGCTAATTTGGCATTCATTCATCCGAGTGTAAATAAATGAGGAAGATAAAATTTTCAAACAATATTATTTAAGCACTACAGCAAGATAAAGCAATTAATGTTCTTAATTTCTGTCAAGCTACGTACTCCAAGAGACCAGTCTTTTATTGGATAAAAGTCAGTTCCCATCCCCCTTCCATCTGTTTTTTTCTCTTGCACACATTTATTTACACACCATTTGGTGCCAGTTTTCAACAAAATTAGGTTTCTTTTTAATTTTTACATTATGATCTCCGTTTATCTTTCAGTTGTTCTACGGAACATACAACTACATTCTATCTTCCTCACTAACTTGAATTTATGTCTATCTGTGAGCCAAGTCTGCCCCCATTCATTTATATGATAAACAAATATAAAGAATAAGGATGCTGAGTAATAAAGATCATGTCTTTTCTGGAGCTTTTAAAGCTATAGTGTTTCTTTTCGTTCCTTCGAAAGGTTGTACATAAAAAATCACATTACAAATAAAAATGAATTAAGTGAGACTGAGAGGTCAGAGAAGAAATACAGAGGCGCCAGTTTCTGTAGAGGGTCTTTAATGGATGATATTTTGAGGCTTTCAATTTGGAAAGAAAAAAATTAAGTAAAAATCCATTTTAACTCTGCCAGTGTTTCATTTTATACAAGATCCATGTTGATCTTGTCTAAATTCTACTCTGTCCTAATATTATGCAAACAAATTCAAACTCCTTAAAGGCAGACAGAAATTAAACCATTCAAATGCTGTTTGCTTAGGAATTTCAAAATCACAGTAAGACATTTTCACCTATGCATCACCAACCATACCACTCCCCCTTTATTTTTGTCATTGCTCCTACTACTACTAGCAGAAATCCTAAAAGATCAGATAATAAAGACCCAAAGAGGTTTTTACATTTTTTCAGCTTCGTACTCAAAAGCCCATCTCAAGCTATAAACTGCCTCCATCCTTGAACTTGCTTGAAAATTGTTAATTTGTTTTTTCTTTGGGAAAGTAAGAAGAAGTCATGACCGAAGAGGAAAACTGCCACTTGTTGCCCTTTGTGGAGTCTCTCCTTTACGCCTTTTAATGGCAAATGGGAGTGCAAAACTGGGTTTACTCTATGCAGGGGGAGGAATCCTTTATTACCCCCTATAATGACAAACATCTAGCAGAGTTCCTTGAATATAGAAAATGTTCAATGTAGGGGTGCCTGGGTGGTTCAGTCAGTTAAGCATCTGACTTTGGCTCAGGTCATGATCTCACGGTTCGTGGGTTGGAGCCCTGCGTTGGACTCTCTGTTGACAGCTAGTTCAGACCCTGGAGCCTGTTTCAGATTCTGTGTCTCCCTCTCTCTCTGTCTCAGAAATTAATTTTTAAAAAAAAATTTAAAAAAAGAAAATAAAATATTCAATATAAGTCTGGCAAAAAAGGGGAGGTGAATAAAAGAATAATGCAATCTTTATTGTTTAAAAATGAATCACTTCCACTCCTTTATCTGACTACAATTTGAAACTGCTTTACCAAATAGGTTTGGCTATTTAAAAATAATCAAGCTTTATCAAATAGGTTTAAGGACTCCCTACAGAGAAATAGGCCAGGGCACAGAGAAATGCGGCTTTAGGAGAGCTTAGAAAGAAGGACCTGTGCTCAACCGAGTTCCACATGAAGTAACTTGTCTGAGTGGCAGTGCCAAGCTTCTCTAGAAGGGGAAAGGATTGTTTTAGAGTATGAGGCAAAGTTAGGTGTTCCCAGGAGCAGAAATATTTTAAATGTTTTCATTTAGGCAGGGCAATGGCCTGTTTAAATCAAACCACCACCCCTAATCTTGGTTCATAAGGTTTTTGGGGAGATACAGTGTGACTTCCTCTGAGAGAAATCTGCTTTTATCTGGCCTACATCTGAATCTTCCTGGTCTCTATATTTTCCTTTGTTTTTATTTTTTTCTCTCACTGACTGTGGAATTTCCTGTTTGGTTTTTCTATAGGGTCCTAGTGTTTAAGGGGTGAAGAAATGAATAAATCCTAACCCTAAAAGATAATTGTATGTCTCAATCTGCCTTAATAAAAGCGCAAGCTCCTGGCTTCTCCATGGAGTCACTCTGAGACGCTCCTTGAGGCCACCACCCAGCAGATAAGTTGCTTATGGGTCAGGAACTGCAGTAACTGTCCTCTCTCCCGTGCACTAAGGGCCATCCCCACGGAGTAGTGACTTCAAGGACAGGTCCTCCGTTCCCTGTTCTAAGTGAGAACACAGACTCCCTTTGAAGACAAACTTTGCAAACAAGAACAACCTTGAGAAAGACCCTTATACGCAGATCAATGCTCAGGAACGTTGCCAACCACTTACAACTCCCCTGTGACATTTCACAGATGTGTTTCACTCTAGAGAAGAGGCCTCCTTCTACCCTCAAACCCATAGCCATGCTTTGTGCCTCGGGTTCAGTGGGGGCTTATCAGATGAGCCGCTGGGGAAATATGTGCCCCCTATTCTCTCTTTGGCCAACTACAGTCACCTTGGCAGAGGGCTCCTCTGCCTCCCAGGGGATACTTCTGTGGTTCTTTGACCTAAGCCTCTCCGGTGAATTCTCTACCTGTTCTGGAGGTCTTGTGGAGTGCCATCTTCAGAGCCCCAAGGATCTGCCCAGAACTGTCCGTCGGCCCCCCCCCCCCCCCCCCCCCCCCCCCCGTGCTCTGGGACGGCCGCGGGGCTGCGCTAGCCATTAATGGACATCATCCATTTTTAATCAGAAAGATCAGAAGAAAGATGGTAAGCGAATCCCAGTCGCAAGTCAATTTAAATAACATTCCTGGGGAAATCCAATCACTTAAAACTGAGACACCTACGCGAGCAAGAGCCCCCGCCCTACTAGCGAGGAAGAGCGCGACGGCTGAATTAATCAAGATCAGGGGGCTCTAGAGCTGAGCGTGGAGGGTTAACCCTTCCAGCCCCGGAGGGTACCAAGGGGGCTTGCAAAAGCGCGGACGGCCAGGGCGAAGATGCCCACGGCAGCCACGCACAGGCTGCCTCTGCCATCTTGGGAGGCTCCGAACGCCCAGAGCTCTACCCGGGAGGCTGGGCGCGCGCGGTTAAGGTCAGAAGCTCAGGAAGCCGCTCCGGCTGCGAGGAACGGCCGCCTCCCGCAGCCTCTGCGCGCCGTGGGCTCCTCCTTCCGCCCAAGCGTGGCCATGTGAGGACTACTCCGACCGCAGGTAGCCGAGGCGCGGGAGGCGGTGCGCGGGACCCGGCGGAGCGCCCGGGGAGGGGCCGACGGACACGCGGACAGACGGATCCCCCAACCCCCGCCCCGGACTTTAGCAACGGTCTGCGCGGGCCATGTGGGGGCCCGGGGTCACGGCCGAGGGCCTGTCGGTGGCGCCGGCACCGCCGCCGCTGCTGCCGCTGCTGCTCCTGCTGACGCTGGCGCTGGTGGCGCCCTCGCGGGGCGGCGGGGGCTGCGCGGACCTGGCGTGTGGCGAGCGGGAGCGCTGCTGCGACGCGGCCAACGCCACAGCGGTGCGCTGCTGCAAGCTGCCGCTGCACGCCTTCCTCGACAACGTGGGCTGGTTCGTCCGCAAGCTCTCCGGGCTGCTTATCCTGCTAGTGCTTTTCGCCATCGGCTACTTCCTGCAGCGCATCATCTGCCCCAGCCCACGCAGGTACCCGCGCGGTCAGGCGCGGCCCGGGCAGGCACGACCCGGGCCGCCGGGGGGCGCGGGGCCTCCGGGGGCCGCGGGGCCGCCCGACGACGACGACGACGACGACTCGCCCGCGCTGATGCGCGACGAGGCGGCCGCCGGCTCGCAGGACTCCCTGCTGGACAGTGGAGGCGGGGGCCGGGGCCGGGGAGGCGGAGGGCGCTCGGCCCCCTCCTGCGCCTCCGAGCACGAGCTTCGCGTAGTCTCGCCGGTTTTCCTGCAGCTGCCCAGCTACGAGGAGGTCAAGTACCTCCCCACCTACGAGGAGTCCATGCGGCTGCAGCAGCTCAGCCCCGGGGAGGTCGTGCTGCCCGTGTCGGTGCTCGGCCGCCCACGAGGCGGCGGCGCCGGGGAGTCGGACGGCGGCGAGGGCCGCTTCCCGCTCATTTGAGAGTCTACGGCCGCTCGAGGACCGCGCGGACAGAACGGGGCTAGGGGGGTTGTGGATGGGACGCAACGGCCGAGGTGGCAGCTGCCACCGCCAACGGCCTCAGACCCCGCCTGATACCTGCGCCGAATCGTCCGTCGCTCGGCGACTGTGCCGGAGTCACTTCCACTCCCGTTTTACCCCGGGATCTTAAGTTTCCCTACGTTTCATTCGGTTCAAGGAAACGTTAGGAGCGCGCGGCGGGGCGACAGAAGCGGACAAGCCAGGAGCGCAACTTCTAAGGTCGTCCCCACCCTCAGCCTCTGCTCAGACTGTGTTCACTCGTAAGTGCCTGCTTTCAATCAAAGAGAACACGTGAGCCCTTTCGTGCGTCGGAAGAAAGGTAGCAACCTTTAGGGATGAAGGGAAAGGGACACAGTTCCATACCTCTCCCTCGCGCCCGGACAGGTCTCGGGTCTCAGAAGATAGGCCGAGGGCGAGGAGCCGCGGGGGTGAGCCGCCACTGGAGACTGCCGCGCGCAGTCGGGGAGATCAGCACCTAGGTATGATTGAATCCCTCCTTTGCGGAGAACACTCCCCCTTCCTCCCCCCCCCCCAAAAAAAAACAACTCGATATCTTCCTGGCCAAGTATAGTCACAACTGGTGGCTCACAATTTGGTGAGGGATAACCAGGATATCCAGTTAGTGGGTGTACCTATTGAAGATACAGCAATTAGATATATTGAAGACCGTATTTATAATAAGGTACAGTTGGGCTTTTGGTTTTTCAATTACTGAAAAGATATTTATATTTATTTGTCTTTTATTTTTATATTTTTACCATGTTTTGAACGTATCAGGAGTGTATTTGTGCAATTAATGATAAGATAATCATCCTTTCCTCTTTTATAGGCCTTAGTGGCTTGGGAATGTGATTATTGTTTAATAAAATGTTAGACATTATTTCATTTACAATGGGGGAGAAAGGAGGCATGGTCAAATGAGAAAACATATGTGACATAAAACACATGACGGATATCTTATTTTCACTATTTGAGAAGAATATATTTTATTTTTAGTACTGTGGCATAATATATAACTTTTTGTAATAACTATAGATTGTGTAGCCTAGGTCTTATTGTATCATTCACCACATAGTTATATGTAGAAATGATTGATACACGTATGCTGTACCATGAAGCATGAAGTCATGCACTTTTCCCTCTATTTTAAAATACATTCCACAACATGATACAAAACGTAAGAACTTGTGACTTGTGACTTCTCTTCAAAGCCATAATTGTGCAAGTAATGTACTACAGAAGGATTTAGTCAACCTATTGTAAGAAAAAAATAAATGCCATTGTATCAGTTCTACCATCCTATGAAATGTCCTTTAAGCAAATGGTAATTTAAAATAATATTAAAATGCATTATGTATAATGTACATACGTATATTGTCTATGTACAATATACACATTGTATACCATATAATTATTACACTTTATGATTGTCATTAAAGGAAAAGTAGGAAACAAAAGGTTTCTCTGGGGAAGAATGAGTGTTAAAGATTTTACACAGGAACCTCACATATGTATCTAGAAACATTGTTTTTATGATTGAAAAAGTTTGACAGTCTGGAAATTGTATTAGAAGAAACTGATGATTTGATTCATTTGAGAAATGATTTAATTGAGAAATTAATGTCAGAAAATGATTTCAACTTTTAAAGGCTAATAGAAAAAGTCTGACAGTTCTAAGAAATCTTAAAATGTCTGAATTGTAAGAGAACAGAACGGTTTACTCTAAAGTTCTAAAAGCTAATGACTCTGTCATTGAAATCATTTGAAGTGTATTAAAGCATAGAAAAACATTAAAGATTTCTCTGTGTAAATTGTATCAGATGTGTGGCTATATGGTATGTATTAAAATATGAAATATGTATCTTTGTTATTTAAAAGCAGTCTTAAGCTGTGAATTGGCAAAACAATGAGTTGAGACTACATGAATTGACAGTGGTACGAGAATTCATGAAATCACATCATATTGAATAATTGCATATGTTAATGTTACTCAAACACTATAAATTTTAGTTTTACATGTGGCTGTCAATACCACCACCATTCAAACAAACTGAAAAGTTGCCATAATCTTTCAAATGATTTATCCTTTGAGGGTATACTGTTTTAGACACTTCTTCAAATTCACCATATCTGAAACATCAACATAAATTTCTACATATATCTATATAAATATCCAAATATATATGTATGTATCCATCCTATATGTTGTTGCTAATACTAACATCTTGAACATTGCAACACAATCTTGTTAAAATACACTTAAAATATGAATCAAGTATATTTCCTTTGTATCAACTATGGAACATTTCTCTCCTTAATATTCAGAATGTCTGTAATGTAACACTAATCATGCAAGGAGATTATACTGAATTTTAAAATTACAACAGACTTTACATTTGTTTTTTTTCCTAGTCATCACACAAGCTTTTATGCACATCCCTCATTTAATAAAAATGAGTTTGACTCTGTTTTTTTCTTGCACTTCATTGATTTACCAAGCACAATTTTGTGGGGAAAAAAATTCCTAAAAACTATTTTTATTAGTGATGAATGAACGTGTCTCATGGTAATGCAAACACATGTATAACATACCACATCATTACAAAACCTATGGATTCACAATGCTAAAATACCTGGATAGAAATATTTTGAAGGTACTAAGGGTGGTATTTAGATGTTCAGTTTTATAGAGTTTACCTGGAAATTATTTATTACAAAGGACTAGTAGAGAATAGAAATGTAGGAAACATTAATGTAGAAAAATTATGCTCTCACCAGAAAATAATTCATGATTTGTTGATTTTACTTATTTTCAATAATCTTTTATATATAGGTCAGAGCACAGATATATATACATATATATACATACATGTGTGTTTATATGTAAGTATGTATATATATGTATGTATTCATGTATGTATAAAATCACCAGTTGCTTAAATGCATGACTTTTTTATATTTTTAAATTCTATGTATTATATAATTATACATGTATACACACACACACATAAAATAACCTGTTGCATGAAAGCAATTTTGTTGTTGGTGTTTATAACCAAGGGGATAATGTCTTCTTGAGATAGAATGACAGTTTTAAGAGGCCATTAAATCAAGGATGGAAATTGGCTTTGGCAATTATGCCAAAGGGCATGAGGTGTACTATATAAGGAAAACAAGATTCAATTGTAAATACTGAAGGGAATATTAAGGAAATGGCCTCAACAGTTTAAAAGGCAATATGCTAAGTACCTTAATGTACTTTATGTATACAGTTTCTCTCAAGTGGAATTAATAAAGGAAACAGTTCACAGCTGGAACTTATTATGTCATAAACATGAATATGGTGTTCAGATTTATACAATGTTCTGCACTGATTTCTGTAAAAATTTCATGAACATAATTAATTTGCATTTCCAGATTGAAAGAAACAATGAATGAATCATTTTAGTCTGAGCAGCCCAGCATTAACCATCTCTCCAAAACTGTAAGTTGCTGACAACCAATCAGTGATAGAACATTTGGCAAGTTTATATCTGATCTCACTAGTTTACAATTTACTTTTTCATTCTCCTTTCGTCCATTGGTAAAAGATGAAAGGCTAAGGGAAGGTATTTTATTAACAAAGAATGAATCAACAACCAGCTAATTGTAAGGAATTAAGACAACGTTTCCTCCATAAAGAGGGAGGAAAATTTTTAAAAAGGAATTAAGACTTCCCATCTTTATGAAGGAAAGGATGTCTTAATTCCTTTTTTAAAATTTTGCCTATAAAAGAATCAAATTTCAAATAAAACCAATACTTTGATTACATTTAAATACATATAGAACCTAATTTTATTTATTTTCTTTTACTTAACAGAATTTGCTTTAAAAAAAATCATATTTAAGTAGTCCCTACACTTGATGTGAGCTTGGAACTCACAAACCTGAGATCAAGAGTCGCTTGTTCTACTGACTAAGCCAGCCAGGCTGCCCTGAGTTTAAATTTTATGACAAAAATTATACTATGGTGGACATTTATGTTTGCTATCAAACTAAAGATTATCATTTTTTTCCTCTTCAGCTTCTTAGCTAAGCACCTTCATTGTCTTGATTTCTCCTACTTATTTTCTTTCATTGTATGTTATTATTATCTTGCTTTGAATTTTCAGTAGATGTTTTCACTGAAACATCTTGTAGGACTCAAGTTATTCTTTTCTGTGATTTAATATCACTGGTTATGGCTTAGCCTTTTGCACAAAGTTTCTTCTTTTGGTAAATGTTATTTATCCAAAGTGTTTTCTTTGTTTTCTATTTGCATCTGATTTCTTTGGTTTTCCAGTTTTGAGCCAGGTAGCTTTCCTTTTTATGCATGAAAGGACTGTAAAGATATTTCTTGTTCCTATCCATAGAGATTTTTATCTTGTCACTGAGCAAGTGATCATATCTTTGCATCTCTCTAAGCAAGAATTTTCATTTTTCTAAATTTCAAACAATAATTCTCAATTTACCTTTTTATATTTTGCTTCCTCACTTGGAATTTTCTAGAGGGATTGTCAGCACTTTTCTCCCTGTCTTTCCCCTAAAAATATGCCCTCTGCTATATTTATAAGGACAGAGAATTAGACCCTTGAATCTTAGTAGTGACAGGGACCTTATCTTGGCTTCCAAACCTCAAGTAAATTAATTGTTCATTGACGGCTATATCTTTATGCTTCTAGATTTTTCTCACAGGCATCTTTGTGGTTTCCTCCGTGTCTGTCATTTTATCTGAGGAATAGTTAACTGTTTTTTTCTCGTTCTTGCTCACAGACATTCTATTTGTTATACTAGATAAAAGATCACATCCTTCTATTCTTACAGGGTGGACCTTGTTTGAGCCTCTAGACCTCAAGGACAGTTTGATTTACCATTGATTGCTGTATCTTTGACATTCTTACAGATTTCTGCATGGACTCATAATATCACTATTTGACTGAGTAGATTAGACAGTCCCTCTAACTTTCTTTTATTCCTACTTCTAGATGATCTTGAAGAATCCATAGTGTAGTGTTTAAGATTTTATCTAGGGAACTGTGAATAGTTTTATCTCCTGCCTCTTTGTTGGCTACCTTTGTTTCATCAGAGAAAGGATTAGAAGTTTCCACATTAACCACCTGTTTTATTTTGGTTTGTGGGAATTTTCTCTTATGTATTGACCAAAGATTTTACCAGATCAAAATTAATTATTATTATTTTCCTGGGTCCTAAAAGTATCTTCTCTTCATTTGTAGGTTTAGCTTTTTTCTTGCAAACTGATCATTGGTTTGTCACATTTCTCCATGTGCCTGACCCCTGTTGAACTAGCCAACCAATCAGATTCCTATAGATTTACCCCAGTTTACTTCTTCCTCTGATGTTAAAGACAGTCTGTGTCTTTTTTCCATAGCTCCATCTTCTGAGTTTTTCTCTTGGAAATTCCTCACAGTATTCTTTTCATTTTTCTTTTTCAAAATATTTCTGTTGTTATAAGCAACTGAGACTCTTCAGTTCTTTATCTGTGTCTGGGATATAGGGACAATGCTGACTCAGCTTTGCTTGAAAATTAAGCTCATATTTCTTTACATTCATCTGTGCACATTACCTGTTGGACTAGACAAGGGTTTAGATTTTTCCTTGAAACTCTTTTATGTTTTTTAGGGTAGATGTTGTTCTTTGACTAACTACATCTTGCATGTTCTTAGGCCACACATCTTCAGTTTCAGAGGCATTAGTTTTGGATTTATATTCACAATGTTCTTGGCTGACATTTCCCGGTCCATCCTTACTTTTGTGCACTGAAGCAAACATTTCTTCAAATCCACTATAGTCATCTTCCAAATATTATGTCTTTTGTTTGAAGTCTTCAAGTGCATTTCTCTTTTTCTCTTTATGGTTTCGATATAGTACTAATAACTATGGGCTCCAGATTTTCTTTTGGTGTTTTTTTTTTAAATGTTGTACGGCCATCTATATTTTCTTTTGATTGAAAAATATGTATGCCCTGTGTATAGTCTAATATTTTTCCTACTACTAAGTTTTAATTTTTTTTTAGTTTATTTATTTGAGACGGAAAGAGACAGAGTACAAGCAGGGGAAAGGCAGAGAGAGAGGGAGACACAAAATCTGAAGCAGGCTCCAGGCTCTAAGCTGTCAGCACAGAGCCCCATGTGGGGCTTGAACTCGCAAATTGCAAGACCATGACCTGAGCCAAAGTTGGATGCTCAACCGACTGAGCCACCCAGGCACCCCTCTACTACTTGGTTTTCTTGAGTATTTTTTCACATCTTTTATTATGGCTATTTTAGATTTTTCTTGTAATTTCTCTGATGTATCTGAATCCTTCCTAAGTAAGGATGTCAGTAAGCTTTTAAAATTTGGAGTTGCTGTAATTATCATAATGCCTGCTGATTCTTCTACTGGCTACACCTTAACAGTTTTCCTAAGGTTTTCTTTCATGCCTGGAGGATTTTCTGCCGACTCCCATCTCTGCTTTGAAGTTGTCCTGAGGTTCTTGACACCTGTCAAGTCTTCTCCTGAGTTCTGTTCTTTAGCAGTTTTATCTATTGGTGCCCATTGGGTCTTCACTAGGTTCAATCTTTTCCACAGAAGTTTTAAGAAGTTTCTTGATTGTTGGTTCAGCTAATTCACATTCTCCCCAGGACAACTAGGAGCTGTCCTGAGCTGCTTCTTGTTGATTGTCTTATATTCTGGGGTCCACCATTTGTTGTGTGATTTTCATAAGGCCCTTGGTCCGTCTTCTACTGGGTCCACTATTCCTAGGCATTCCAAACAAACTCTTGATAGCTGTGAG